TACTGCAGAACTTTTTTGAGCTCTTCCTGTCTTTCAGCTGCATTTTCCATTTCCTCTGCTCCAAGCAGCTCCTAATTTCCATTTGAGGTGAACAAAGAAGACAGCAAGTCTGAACTGAGGGGGCTCAAGGCTGGAGGGCGGGGGCAGCATGTGAAATTGAGCAGGAGAGAAAGGCAGAGGAAACTGGGCTTTGGGGAAAATGACAAGTAAAGTGAAAGCAGATTGGCGGGTGTGGACACGGGCCACAGGGGGAATTATCCAACTAATTTATATGGCCGGGGAGAGACACCCAGATATTTCTTTCGGTCTGTGGCAGGACAGGGTGGGGCCCTTCAAGCCAGACTGAGAAGTAGTGGAGGAGCCAGAACTCGGGGGTCAGGACCCGGTCAAGGCAGAGGCCTGGCTGCAACAGGGCCCAAGAGCCTTCAATTAGAGCAATCTGAATCAGGGGGGCCCAGGGTCAGCCCAGGTTCAACCGCAAGGTGGCGGCTCCAAGGACGCTTGGGGAGTGTGCCCCTCTCCTCCCCAGGACCCCTGGGGTCCTCCCCTCTCGGCTCTCTCCTGCTCCAGGCAGGCTCACCCCACAAGAGTGACTGAAACTGGGTGATGACCATCAGCAGGGGCCTGACGCAGTGGTCCTGGGGATCAAGGTGCTGCCCCTTGTGCTGCTCTGCCAGGGGGGAGGCCCATCTTGTAGGCGCCATCATCCCCCATTTGGGAATCCCTCTCCTGGAACAAATTCGCCCAGAGGAAGGCAGAGTTGGGGGAGGCACGGTTCTGACCAGCCGTGCCTGGACGTGTCAGTACTCAGCTGACAGAGTGATGCAATGCTGGCTTTAGGATCGGGGGAATTGGACTTGAACCAGATGCCTCTGGCCCTGCCCCCAGCCTCCTCCTTACATAGAATGAAGACACTCAGAGTCTCCACGGCAGCATCTGTCTGTGGTGTGCTGTCGTTCATCCAATGGGAGTGATTGTGAAAGGGACTGTTTGCATGTCTGTCTGTCCAGCATAACTTCCCCCTTCGAGAAACAGTGCCAAGATTTCCCCTGGACTCACATGTCCCTGACATGTGACCTTGGTGAGGATCTCAGTCAGGGTGTTGGGTGCTCTGCCGAACAGGGGGTAGAGTGAGTGCCAAGCTCAGCCACCAGCCCCTTTCCCCTGGGGAATCACAAGTATTTTGTCAAATGTATCTTAACAACACACACACAAAAGTCCAAAGTGACCTTTGGAGTTTTTCATATTTTATGCCTCTTGAGAAATCTGTATGCAGGTCAGGAAGCAACAATTAGAACTGGACATGGAACAACAGACTGGTTCCAAATAGGGAAAGCAGTACATCAAGGCTGTGTATTGTCACCCTTCTTATTTAACCTATATGCAGAGTACATCATGCAAAATGCTGGGCTTGATGAACCACAAGGTGGAATCAAGATTGCCGGGAGAAATACTAATAATCTCAGATACGCAGATGACATCACCCTTATGGCAGAAAGTGAAGAAGAACTGAAGAGCCTCTTGATGAAAGTGAAAGAGGAGAGTGAAAAAGTTGGCTTAAAGCTCAACATTCAGAAAACTAAGATCATGGCATCCGGTCCCTTCACTTCATGGCAAATAGATGGGGGGAACAATGGAAACAGCGGCAGACTTTATTTTCTTGGGCTCCAAAATCACTGCAGATGGTGACTGCAGCCATGAAATTAAAAGACGCTTGCTGCTTAGAAGAAAAGTGATGACCAAGAAAAGCAACGGATCAATGACTAGACTGCATATTAAAAAGCAGAGACGTTACTTTGCCACCAAAGGTCCGTCTAGTTAAGGCTATGGTTTTTCCAGTGGTCATGTATGGATGTGAGAGCTGTACCATAAAGAAGGCTGAGTGCCAAAGAATTGATGCTTTTGAACTGTGGGGTTGGAGAAGACTCTTGAGAGTCCCTTGGACTGCAAGGAGATCCAACCAGTCAGTTCTAAAGGAAATCAGTCCTGAATATTCATTGGAGGGACTGATGCTGAAGCTGAAGCTCCAATACTTTGGCCACCTGATGCAAAGAACTGACTCATTGGAAAAGACCCTGATGCTGGGAAAGACTGAAGGCAGGAGGAGAAGGGGATGACAGAGAGTAAGATGGTTGGATGGCATCACTGACTCAATGAACATGAGTTTGAGCAAGCTCTGGGAGTTGGTAATGGACAGGGAGACCTGGTGTGCTCCAGTGCATGGGGTTGCAAAGAATCAGATATAATTGAGCAACTGAACTGACTGAACTGAATTGAACACACAGTTCCCAGACCTACTGGAGCCTAAGGGTTTATCATCATCAGCCGATCAGAGAATTGTGCACAAGCTGATCACAGACCCTGAGACACTTCTCGTTTACCTGGCCTTTAAAAATGCTGCGCTGATGATGCATTAGGCTGGGCACCCAAAGCCAGTGCTCTGGGACAATCCAGAGGGATCGGGTGGGGAGGGAGGTGGGATGTCATGTTCAGGATGGGGGGACACATGTATACCTGTGCCAATTCATGCTCATGTACTGCAAAAATCATCACAATATTGTACAGCAATTATCCTCCAGTTAAAATAAATGAGTTTATAAAAAAATAAAACAGAAGGCACTAAAAAAAAAAGCCACTCCAAAATATATTTTAAAAAAAAAATGCTGTGTTGAGCCACCTAAATGTATATTGATCAATGAGTGGAAAAAGAAGATTTGGTACATGTATACTATGGGATACTACTCAGTCATAGAAAGTAATGAAATAGTGCCATTTGTAGAGGTGGATGGACCCAGAAACTGTCATACGGAGTGAAGTAAGTCAGAAAGAGAAAAACAAATATCGTACACTCACGCATATATGTGGAATCTAGAAAAATGATATAGATGATCTTATTTGCAAAGCAGAAAAAGAGTCACAGACAGAGAGAACAAACATATGGACCCCAAAGTGGGGAAGGGGAGGTGGGATGAATCGGGAGGTGGGGATTGACATATATACACTATGGACACCACGTATAAAATCAATAACCAGTGAGAACCTACTGTATAGCACAGGAAACTCTGCTCAGTGTTAAAAAGAGGGTGTATATATGTACATATGGCTGATTCACTCCGCTGTACAACAGAAACTGACCTATAGTTGCAGTGTAAAGCAACTATACTCCAATAAAAATAAATAAAAACGCTGCGCTGAAATCCTTCAGGGTGTTCAGGGTTTTGAAGGGCATCAGTCCCCTGTTCTCCTTGCTAGGCCCTGCAATAAACCTTTCTCGGCTGTACACTCAGATCACTGAGTGGTCTGGTTTCTGTGTTTTTTAAGATCTGGCCAACATCCAACTTTCCCCTCTCTTCTGTGAGCTAGCCTTTCCTCCTAAGCAGATCCTTTGGTTGGCACTGGCTGGAGTTGGGTTCCTGTCACTTGTTTTTGTGAGCCCTACATGAGAAGCCTCCCTGAGGGATCCTGTGAGAGCTTCCCCAGGCATGGACACTGTGGCCAGGACACACGGACTCCTGCAAGACGAGGAAAGAGACCCTGGAAACTGAGGCACGATGTGTGAGGAGCACACGGAAAAGGGCTCCCGTCCCCTGTTGACCATCGGTCCATCAGAGTCAGGGAGGGCCAGGCTGGGCCTTACTTCACCAACCAGTCCCTCTGCCTGGCCCATTCATGCCTTTAACTTTTCATTCACGGTTTACCCTCCAATTTATTGAGCACCTGCAGTGTCCGGTAGGAGTGATCCTGCCTTTGTGGAGTTCACACCCTCACCGGAGTGATGGGTTAGTGAACAAGACTACCGGCCGTATGGGAGGAGGTGGACTGAGGGCTGGCCTGGAGAGGGCTTGGGTCTCGGGGCTGTGTCAGGGGTCTACAGGTTTGATGGCTCCCTAGGACAACTCCTAGGACTCAGGTAGAGTCTGTTTTTTAAAGTTGCTGCGTAAAACTGAGAAAAATTTCATACAAAGCATATTAAACCTGAAAAGTCAACTTTAGCTGCTCCTTGGGAATCTAGACTTGGAACAGACCAACAAAGGCAGAGAAGAGTTGGCACAGTAAGTCATAAGCATGGCTAAGACACATTACAGAGAAAGGATGCAAGGAAAATCAGCAGAGGGCGAGGCAGTGTCTGGAGACCAGCTTCCAGGGTCCTTTCTGGAGTCACAAGGGATGCCCTGAATCCTAGCAACAAGCTTTGACAACGCATATGGAGCATTGCCCACCAGGGGCGCCCATGGGAGACATGATGTCCGATGTTTTCACTGGGGGCTTGTCACATGGGCATCCTCTGCCTTTCATAAATTCTCCAGAGGGAGAACACATGTTTAGTGTAAACAAGGCTTATGATGATGTGTCTAGGTGCTGAAAAAATTCCAGCACAGCCAATCTTGCCAAGTAAAACAGAAGTGGAAGGAAACTTCCCAAACCTACAGAGTCCCCACCCCACACTTGTAAGGCTTGTGAGGCACACTTGTGAGGCTTCAGTGAGATGGTCGCCAGATTTCTTGGCAGGATGCTGAGCCCTGCCCCGAAGCCTCCATCAACAGCACTCCACACAGCCTCCTGCTCGACCCTGCTCCTCACCTCTTCCTGAAGCAGCTGGATGTCAGCCACATCACTGCCCCATCTCACTCTGAACGAGGACCAATGAGGTTCCCAGACCCCGGACGCCTGGCCACAATTCTTCCTCCTCTCCTTCCAGGACTTCCCCCCTCCGTGCCTCTCTCCTCCACCCCACTTTGCTTTTCTCCTCAGAATGCAATGTATTTATGTTTTATTAGCTCCCAGTTTCTTCCTTCCAGCCCCTGGAATGTAACCCCCAGGGGAGGACCTCATTGTTCCATTTCATCCCCCAGAGATGTGACACCAACATAGCTGGTCAGCATCACCAGCTTTAGAGTGACCATCACCCTGTCCATCCCCACCGCCAGCCTCAGCCTTCTCCCTCTGCTGTGATCCACTCTCAGGACTCACAGGAGCAAGGGGCCCCCTCTCAGGCTCACCTGACCCCTCCGTGGAGTCGTCAAATTCCACTTGGAAGAGGTAGCCGGTGTTCCAGACATAGAGGCAGGCCTCCGCATTGTAAGAGACCCCTAGGGGCTTCAGTTGGGGATCATAGACGCTGTCCCTCCAGTGGATGTTGATGGGGGACTGCCGGGTGCCCCCTGGCACGGAGGCTGGACCCTTCCAGATGGGGTGCACTGGGGGCAGAGACAGGGAAGAGAAGACCCTCATGGTGCATGGGCGCCGTTTCAGCCTCAGAGCGAGGAGGCAGAAACTTGCAAACTTGGTCCCAGAGGAGCCCGCACTGGAGAACCTGGCCCCAGGCCGCCGGGCCTCGTAACCCCAAACCTATAGGCGGGGCCTTCGCTCCATCTCCTCTCCCGGGCCACGCCCAGTACCGATTCCTTTTTGAAGGGAGTGCCGCTCATCGTGGCCTTGTGGCTGCTTGGAGTCGTTCTGACCTGTGGTCATTGTCACAGCGCGGTCACAGGGAGTTGTGCCGGGGAGGTGGGGGGGCGGGGGTCCAGTCCAGCCCAGCCCAGGGAGGCAGGCAGTGGAGGACTGTGGACTCATGGGGGTTGCTACAAGTGTCAGAGAACAGGAAACCCAAGTGTCCTCCGGGAAACCAAAGTCCCAGGATCCACGGAAAACCCTGCTCAGAAGGGCCTGGAATAGAAGCCTTGGCACCCGCAACAACCCCCAGGCTTTCAGTTATGCAGCATGCAAGGTGGGGTTCCTGGCCTAGGCGGCCGCTAGCAGTGAAGAACCCGCCTGCCAATGTAGGAGACATAAGAGACATTAGGTCCGCTGGGGGCCGGGAAGATGCCCTGGAGGAGGGGATGGCAGCCCACTCCAAGATTCTTGCCTGGAGAATCCCATGGACAGAGGAGCCTGATGGGCTGCAGTCCACAGGGTCACAGAGTCTGACATGACTGAACACGCACACAAGGTGTGTCCCTGCCCAGCTGCAGCTTGCTAGAGATGCAGATCGCCAGGCCCCACCCAGACACCCTGCAAGCTTCAATCCATACAGAAGGGTCTGCTCACAGAGGAAGACCCTCCCTCCTGGATTCCCAGAGGCAGCTGCTCTGGCTGATGTAGAGCTCAGCCTCTGGCACTTTCCTCCAAGCTCAGAGAAACACACTAAAGGCTTCTCAAAAAAGCACTGCTCAGTACAAAGTCGACCTATGCCTTGGTTTTCTTCACTTAACTGTAGATGTCTTCATACCTGGCTCCTGTTTTATACTTGGTGACCATGAAGAGCATCAATGCACCTGAACCCAAGTCCTGGCCCCACCACTCTGTGGCTGTGTGTCCCTTGGCAAGTTTCCTAACCTCTCTGAGTCTCAGTTTCATCACCTGTAAAAGGTGGCTCTTGATGGTACTTATCACACAGCGCTGGTGGGAGTATGAAGCCAGGAGAGACTAAGGACAGCAGAGAAATGGGGATTTTGGTATCATCCTCAGGTGTGGACCCACAGAAAAATTGGGAAAAGTAAGAATGTTTGAGCTTCCCTGATGGCTCAGGGGGTAAAGAATCCACATGCAATACAGGAGACATAGGATACGTGAGGTTGATCCCTGGGTTGGGAAGATCCCCTGTAGAAGGAAATGGTAACCCACTCCAGTATTGCCTGAAAACTCCCATGGATAGAGGAGCCTGGTGGGCTAGAGTCCAGAGGGTCACAAAGAGTCAGACAGGACTGAGCAACTAATGTAGTATTTTTAAGGGTCCACTGTGTGCCAGGCTTTCTGCTCGAGTCATTTTATCTTCACGTGGCCCCCTGTGGGATTTCATCATCCTGTTTTACAGGTGAGGAGACCGAGGCTTGGGGAGATGAAGCAATTGGCCAGCTCTCCCTGCTGACAAGTGTCACCAATGCCCACCACGGAGGCAAGCTCCAAAGTCTAAGCTCTTCCAACTGTCCTAGCCTGGAATGTGTGGAATACTGACGTCAGAGGTGAACTTGGGGGTACCTGCAGGCCCTGTATCTGACGCAGTAAGAACCTGAGGTCCAGAGAGAGGGAGGGGTGAGTCCAAGGTCACAGGACACCAAGGACACCACTGCCAGGATGAGGCTGCCCTGGGCCAGTCTTTGGATGGACCTGGCTGGTGACCTATTTATCAAATTTACTGAGACGTTCTCTACTGGGGCTTGGAGCCCTAATGACTTGGCTGGTACAGCTGGTTCTGGGAGGGCAGGATATTGAGTAATAGCAGCTTGTCTTGGCGGGGGGGGGGGGGGGGGGAGTCGGAGTGATCACTTGCTCCCTCCTTGTTCCGAGCCTCTCACCCTCCTGATGGATCTGAGGTTAAGGAACAACCCACGTCTCCCACAGGAAAGACAGAGTAGAAACCTGAACCCAAGCCAACTGGCTTCAACCATCTCCTATTTTGAAAGATGCCATGACATGAGAAACACAGCGTGGGAGTCTGTATCTGGGAGACCAGAGGCTCTACTTACAAGCGTCATTTCTCCTTCTCTGTGCACAGGGAACCTGCGAGCACCATCGCGCCGGCCTTAGCAAGTGGCTATGGAGGGTGCCCCATATCTGCTTGGCCAGGAGAGACAGACCTGAGGACTTCAGATGACTCCAGCCCGGCACTGGGGGCCTGACCATCTTGCCTCTGTTCCCAGGGGACCCAAGAACCAGAGGGGGGTTTCCCCACTCTCTGCTCTCACTTTGGGCAGGACAGCCGAGCGGTGGGGTGGGGGTGGCCCACCTCTTTTGTAAAACCTCACCCAAAGCGCTGATGGTTAAATTTCAACCCATGCCCGCCCCAACTTCTCAGATGACGTGGGGTTTGGCTTAGGGAAGGGTGCCCTGGGACTAGGGACGTTTGCTGTGGCCAGCCCCTCGGGTCACTGTGCTTTGACCGGATAAACAGCGGGGTGAGGGTGCCAGGGAGTGAGGGGAGTTTGTGGAGAGCCTGCTGCCAGACCAGGGAGCAGACCAGAGCAAACAGACCAGAGCAAAGTCCCTGTTTGGGTGTGACCCTGGCTGTGGGTCCCTCCAGCCTTGGACCATTCAAGACCCGGCCCAGAGCCGCGCTGTGTGTCTCCGGGGAGCAGCAGGGTCAGAGGGGCAGGAGGGGAATCTGCCAAAGCTGCTGGTGGACAAGGCAGGGGAGCAGGTGGCCCCTCTGCCCAGGGCCCCTGGGAAGCAGCCCATCCTGTGTCCATGAAACAGGTGTGATCTGGTAGGAATTCATTCTGCCCAAAGTACGACATCCTGCTTGGCTTGGGACACTTCTAGTTTTTGCTTCCTGTCTCAGCATAAACATTAACATGCCCCTTTTCATGCTTAAAATGTCCACATTTGGATAATAAATCAGATGATTACCCTAACTACACAACCTGTAATATCTGTAGATGCCAGACAACAAAAAACCTGCTTTGGACTATACAGCAGTTTACTTCCTACTGTGAAATGGAGATGGCAGGGTTCAGATGGAAAGGTATGTAAAATTTTTCGGGCGGGATTAAACATATAAGCTTCAAGAGAGTGGGTCTATCATAACTGATCCTAGAATCCTGGATTCTTCGACATGGAAACCCCACAGGATGGGGGTCCTGAACTCTGAGTCCACTTGGGGCTCCCAAGGGCCCAAGAAACCTGCTGATTGGATCCATAGTTGGGTCTGCAGCTTCCGTGCAGTTCCCTGATGTGCTCATGAGTTGATTGCCTGGGTTGCAAGCAACAAAAACCAACTCTGGAACATAGATGCTTTTCTTCCTGTGGAGTCATTTTAGAAACGTACCCACCTTTGGGTGGCTTCGTTCATCCATTCATTCACCCATTCATTCATTCATTGACTTTTGCTTCAGTGGAGTGGGGAAATACTAGTAGGTACTGTTATGTTGCTGTGAGAGTTTAATAAATTGATGCAAGGGAAGTGCTTAGATGATACCATTTCCATGAGTTACTGTGTGCTGAGCACCAACTTGCAGGACCTGACTGTGCCCTGAAGGAGCAGGTCCTGGCATCACAAATCCATCAGCTGACACCCCGAGGGCTTCCTTGGCTCCTTGGGGTGTGTCCTCAGTACCTGCAGCTGCCCTGCCACCTTCAGCCTCCCTACCATAGGTAGACCACCTCCTTGGCTGTCTCTATGGGTCTGGGGTCTCCCTGCTCCCTGAAGCCATATGGGAGGGCCCTGCTTCCCTTAGAAAGTACATGTGGACATCCTCACTCCCAGCTTGTCCTGGACATCCTCATGGCTGGTTCAGACATCAATTCAACTGCTGTTATAGTAGGAGCTAAACTCTCTGCCATTGGAAAAATATGTAAAAGTCATATACGTGCATGTTACACAAAACATTTTAAGGGCTTCAAAAGTGAAAAGTCTGTCTTTCACAGAGTGAACTGATAGCAGTTTCTTGTCCCTCTTTCTGGAAATTTCCCTATATATAAGCCTATATATGTGTATATTGCTTTTGTTTAAAATAAGGGAGATGGGACTTCCCTGGCAGTAACCAGTGGTTAGGACTCTGAACTTCTACTGCAGGGGGCACGGGTTCACTCCCTGGTCCAGGAACTGAGATCCCCCAAGCTGCACAGTTCAGCCAAGTAATAAATAAGTAAAATACAGGAGATAACCATATCCTATGTAGAAGGTATATACCTGGTCACTCAATAATTGTCAAGAAATATCCCATGGAATCTGGTGGGCTACAGTTCATAGGGTCACAAAGAGTCAGACACGACTGAGGCAACTTAGCATGCATGCACACATGCACAAATCATAATGGGAAAAATATATTTTAAAAGTGTGTATTTGTATTACTGAGTCACTTTGTTGTACAGGAGAACATTGTACATGTACAACATTGTGCTATACATTAACTATACTTCAACAAAAATTTTAAAAATAATTGTCATGAATAATTTTCTCCATCATTGTATATAGCTTATTTCAACATAGCATTTCATTAAAACACTTATCATAATTTATCAAATCTCTCTCCCTGCAGATGCACTTTATTTTGTCTTATATGTAACACTGCACTGAACATCTCTGAATGGAATTCCTAGATCTGACATTTACGGGTCAAAGGAGAAAAGCATTGACGCCGTTGATCCATGTGTCACGCTGCTCACCTGAGAGATTGTGCCACGTCCCACTTTCATCCACTCACCTATATTTTGAGCCAAAGAATCTCAATTTATCCAACTCAACACCTGCTAATTTTTGGCTATCTCCTTTGCACATAAACACTAATCAGTGGGCTTCATGGACTATAATTCTCTGCAGGAATTGGCGAGTCCTCATGTGGATTTATGATGGTGAATTCTGCATCAACTTGACTGAGCCATGGTGCTCAGATATTGGGTCAAACGTTATTCCAGATATTTCATGATAGGTGTCTTCTTGGACATGATTAACACAAGACTTTGAGTAAAGTAGGTTATCTGCCACAATATGAGTGGGCCTTGTCTGATCAGTCGGAAGCTTTAACTGAACAAAGACAGATTCCCCTGGGCAAGCCGACATTCTGCTTTTGGACCTCACCCCACACTCCTCTGCCCACCCCGTCAGATTTTGGACTTGTTAGGCCTCCCCAGTCACATCTTTCAAAGGGCAGAAAGAAAGACTGAAGTTTCTATTTTTATTTCCTTTCTCACCTTTTATATTTTCTTTTTTCCATATGTTTCTTAGAGGACACAGTACATTAGAATCTGATATACAGATATAATTCATACATAATTGCACATGCATTAGAGGAGCAGATTCCAAACCTTTTTGCTGAAATGAGTGTGTGATCAAAGAAAATAATTTTTCTTTGAGAAAAATTTTCTATGAGACCCCTCAAATTTCTTGGCATTACTCTTTACAAATAGCGCTTAAATGACAGAAATTCAAATTTGCTCCTAAATACAATCAAGTGCTCTCCAAAGTGCTTTAAATCCCAGCAGATATTTACACTGTCCACAGTGAAAAGTGAAAGTGTTAGTTACTCAGTCGTGTCCGACTCTTTGCGACCCCAAGGACTGTAACCCACCAGGCTCCTCTGTCCATGGGATTCTCCAGGCAAGAATACTGGAGTGGGTAGCCATTCCCTTCCTTAAGGGATCTTCTCAGTCCAGGAATCGAACCGAGTTCTCCTGCACTGCAGGCAGATTCTTTACTACTGAGCCACCAGGGAAGCCAACACTGTCCATAAAGGAATTCTATTTTAGTAAAAAAAAAAAAAAGAGAGAGAGAGAGAAAAAGGGAAGAAAAAGTAAATAGAAAAAACTCACACTGGGCAAAATCTTGAGAACACATGGATGTTTCAATATGTTTTATTCAGAGTAATTTCTTTTGCTTCTGCACTGGATTGTCTATACCACAATTTTCAGCTTGCACTTTTTACTGATTTTATGGATCCCGCTGTTTCCGGATCTGCAGAGCCTGAGGGAATGCTTTGTAGTGGAAATTTCACTTTTACAGGGATGTCACACCACACTGCTGCCCTGATGGTCATCACATGTCTGGCTTCGCTGCTCAGAGCCTTGAGTCAAATGAAAACAATGAAGCTGGGCTTTGCCTGGGAGCCCAAGGGAACCAGCTCTTCCTCCAGCCCTGAGATGCTCTCAAACCTCTCTTTCTGGAAAGTATGACTCAACAGCTTCTGGGAGAAAAGAGCCTCCCCTCTGCTGGACAAACCTCAGCGTCCACATCACAGCTGGAGCTCGGGTGCTCCTTGGGTCTCTCCAGAGCCCAGGGAGACACGTGCTGGGGCAAATGCCTTGATGTCTCCCCCATGCCTGGCTGCGTCTCCTTCGGTAACAGCACCTAAGAGTTCTCCCTAGGACACTCACTCCCCTGCCAGCTGACTCCTACCCGCTCCCTTGTGTATATCAGGCTTGGCCAATCAGAGGAAAAGTGGCTCACAGTACCTGTCAGCCCTGGGAGTTGCTGCAGCTGTGGGAGAGAGGCCCTGTCTGTCCCTGGGCATTATGAAACAGCTCACAGACGCACTGTGAGATCCTGAATGGATCCAAGAATGGAGAGAAAATTGAGCCCCAAGATGGGAAGGTGGGGAGGGAGAGACAGAGACAGAGAGAGAGAGATACACACAGAGAAATGACACTGCTTCAGCTGAGCAATTCCTGTTGCTATATCCTAAAGTCCATTTCCATCGTTTCAGGTATTGCATCAATAGTTTCCTTTTATGAAGCTTGTTTAATTTGTTTTCTGTGTATTCCAAAGGGCCCTGCCTTAGTCTCCATCTTACAGATGATATATCCACAGCTGAGAGTGGTGACAGGACTAAGGGCCCTCGCTAGCAAGAGGCAGAGATAGTGCTCATGTGTGTGGCCTTGAGCTCTTTATCTTTTTGGGCCCCACCACACGATTAGTCTCCACTTCTACAGGCATATACGTAAGGTGCACAATCATTGCATGTGGTATGACAGGTAGACGGTCAATCATCTGTTCCAGGTTCTTACCGGGTCCAAGGAGATCTTTGGTTGGAATAAAAGGTGTGCATAAATTCTAGACCCCAATGATGTGCTGTTGCCCAGCAGACCACCCCAAAACAGTGGCTGAAAACAACAATCATTTATTGAGCTCACACACCTGTACTCTGGGCCGGGCTCTGTGGGAAGAGCTCTCTCTGCTCCAAGAGGCCTCA